GACGGCCTTGAACACAACCTGTGCCGCCAGAGGGAACGCCATTCCCTTGTAGAACGCCCGAATACCTGTCGGCCGTGTACATGGAAAAGCACAACAGAGAGCAGCGATAGAGAGAGAGAGAGAGGGGGAGGGAGATGAACCCAAAAATGTACGGATTAGAGGAATGGAGAAACACATGTGCTTCTATTGGTTATTTCTTCTGTCATCATCTAGCTACAAGCGACGAGAGCTCATGCATTCACCCTTAAAGTTTTTCGAGTCATTGTCGTAAGTACGTGACCCCGGGACCTTGTTTCACGCGTGGAGGTTAGGGAATAGGCGGTACTGAACATGTCATAACGTCTTCACGTACGCAGCAAACAGAACAACCTACATGGATATTCATATTCCACACGATCCATGCAACAAGTAAATGGCACACGACCCGTGCAACAAACACGCGGTCGTTTTCATACCTTCGTTTCTGAAGGTGTTGGCAACGCACGAACGCACTCCTAGCGTCTTGCCCTGGCTTCCCGCCATCTGCAGCCTCGTTCTCACCTGCGAGTACCACCAGATCAAAGCCTGGACTGAGTCCCTAATCACCCATCATCCAGGACGTGTCACTCAACCCTCCCTTCAAATCGTCTGGAACGGGTAGTCTTTCTCTATTGAGTTGTGCATGTGCGTAGATGTATTTTCAATGACTGCTGCTGTGTCGAAAGGTGAACCTTAGCCACGTCTTCGCCGGCTTCTCAAGAGAGGTCGGTCAGCCAGCAAATTCCGTCGCAGTCGAAATCGGTTGGGAAACCCCGACCAAAGTCGTAATCTGGCTGCGCGTATGACCCCAATTTATCGGTGGGACCTCGGCCCATGGGAGCACCCAGCGATGGCGAGCTATCGCAGGGCGGGCAGGCCGGACGACATAATTTCCCGCCTGCACCAGGACAAAGTCAACCTGTTTGTGTCAGCTCTGAAGGCACAGATGGCGGCTCTGCTGCCTGCTCCCGTCGGGTCGTGCCGGTACTTCAGAACGGACCCGGAGGTAGGAAACGTTAAAATCGGGTCGAGGCTCAGTTTCTTACTTCGCTCGCCGCTGTCGAGCACAGGTTGATTACAGAGTGTAGTGTAGGATCCACCGCTGAGCTACGTTTCTAAGACCTTTTCTCTAAATTCACGTGCATACTTGAGTCTCTGCTTATGAACGAAATAATTATTTGCTGTGGGTCCCGTCTACCAGCAAACAGGAAAGAGGAGGTTGCAACGGTCACACAGCGCCGACGTTTGGTGCTCTCGCCACGACATGACCGTATGGGCTCCTGTGTGTTCGGACGCTAGGCCCGCCGCCGACCAAAGCTTGACCATGGACGCGGTTCAAGCCAACGATGCCGTCCTCAACTAGCGAAATAACGAATACGACCCGTATTTTATTGCTGTCTCCAGCCCTCTGTGGCTTGTAGTATTCACCACGACGTTGCAGCCGGATGTCCCGACGTATTCCGTAACCGAAACAGATGCACTTGACTACGCATGTACCGTGTCTCTCAAACGCCGATATTGCAGCGGAAACAAGTCCGGGCACTTGACTGAGCATGTTCCCTGTCTCTCGTGTGCCGATTTTGCACAGCAATACAGTACTGTACTATTGCGGCTGGGGTACAGCTCCAGCAGGGCTGGAGTTGTTCTGCACGGCCGATATTTACTTTGCCCCTAGAGAGGCACTCCAGAGCTCGGTGATGGACGAGGCTTAAGCCAATGACGCCATCGTCACCCACCTACATGCGCGGTTTCAACGTCGTGGGCTTCATCATCGGGGCCGGGGAGGCGGCCGTAGTGGCGGACAGCGTCGATGTTTCGTGTTCCGCTGCTTTTCAACACTTGGAAGTGTGGCGTTTTCCCGACGCATGATCCTCGCGCCATCGCAGGGACGGAGCGCCATCATCATTTTGCTGGAAGAATGCCAAGCTTCCGGCATGTCGAAGCGGAGAAACACGAAACCATCGGAGTTGACGGCCACGACAATCGTCTCCCATGATCCGATGACCCTAGGATGTTGCATCCACGCGCGTGCGTTACCGTATATGACACAAGATAACACGCCCCCTGGCCCGATGTTCCAAGCCCGACTACGCCACGACGAAGAACATTCATTAACGAAACGATGCATTTTCGGGGAGCTCTTGACGAGACGGCTTCGACGCCGCCGGTTTCGACACCACCGCCCTCTCTGCTGTTGAAAAATCGGGCTTTGAAAATCGGTCCAGGGGGGAATGTTGTCTTGTAGTAGATACGTGCTGGCTGGTTGCGAGGACATCACTACCTCGGGCACCCGGCAATCAAGCCTACACCTGCAGCCTAAAAAATCCATGGAGGTGTTGTTCTCCATGTTTACGAGAGAGAGCACGTCTCAGATCAAAACCCAGAACAATAGAGACAAGCTGCATACTGTTCTACGTGGGAGAGAGATATGTAAGAACGACTCTCCAATGTGAAGACAACAGCAACAGCAACAGCAATAGCACCAGCAGCCAGCAAATGCAGAAGCTGGGTGGCAGCAGCAACCCAAGGGGAGTTGGAGGGCGGATTCTTGCGGGGTGAGAGCTGCAGGCCACCACCGCCATCCTCCTATCTCCAAGAAATGCTTGAAAACCCCATCGCTCTCACGATTAGATCACAGGAGAGCGTTGTGGATTACTCCCCATCAGTGCTGACTGACTGATTCTGGCAGCGGGGACCCGACTAGGCCACCGTACCGTGCAACTTACCGTACTACTGGCTGTGCGTGGACAAAGTATCACGGACTGCGAGTAGGTGAGGTGTATGAAGGAGCACAGGCCGTAGGAAGGTAGCTCGATCCTAGAGAAAACAGAAGGTGCGAGTCGCTTGATGCTCTTTGATCCACGACTGATTGTCGAGGAACGGGATGTTCCTTGAATTTGCTGAGCGAGAAACGTCTGAGGTGAAGGTACATGCTGTACCGCTTCAACCAGGGGGCATGCAGATTAGTGCTGATGTGGTATGGGACCGTATAGATATATACCTCCTGGCCATCCCACATCGTATGCTAGACGAGGTACACCCTATTGTTGCTAACAGCAACACTCCTTAACAAATGGCAGACGAACCACAAGGAATTGATTGGTCGATCTCCCTTGGTATGTATACCTGGCGCCATCAAAATAGGCCGTGAATCAATGCGATGTGCGAAACCTCACCGTGTCCATCGGGTACATGATTGATATTGACACCATCCCCGCGCAGCCCCCTGCCATGATATCTCTCGCTGTGGCAAATGGGGGGCCAGGGGGAGGGAGGGAGGGAGGGAGGGAGGGCGGCGGGAAGGAATCGGCCAAAGTCGTTCGGTCGTTCAAGCGGAACTCGTACAACACCCGAGACCACAGAACCAACTAACAATGAGCGTGTGTGTTGTGCGCGTTCCATGTATGGCGGAGACTTGCGGGCAGATTTACACAGAGTCAGAGGAGGTGGGGGCGGGGAGCGGAGAAGCAGGCAACACGAAAAACATGGTTAACTCCAGCATCAGGTAGCCCAAAAATGTTGCGATGTGTTCCTACAAAGTCGGGGTTCAAGGCAGGGCTTCCATGGCGAACGATACAGCCGGGAGTTAGGGATCCTCCCCGGCATTCGTGTCGTTGCAGAGGATGTTCTGGAAAGCATACGCTGGATCAATACCTCACTTTTTTTGAAGAGACATGTTGCAGGTATTTTGGTTCCGGCTTGTATCACTGATCTTTCCATGTCGAGGCTAAAACACACTTGAATAATTCCGGTTTCGGGCAGTTTTCCCTGGTCGTGTACACGGCACGTGAACGCCCTCGAACGGAAAAATCATCACCTCGAATTGGCAACCTTAATCTTTCTCTGAGGTCATAGTACGTTTCCAAAGGAAGCTGAGCCACGTGCAGCCGTACAATCGGTACCATGGAGAGGACAACCGATTATGCTGGTATCCGCACAACAAGATGGCTGTACAGACCCACCAGAGATGTAAACCAACTTTCATCCGGAGGTGATGAATGGGAACACAAATTTGGGGCTCGGAAAAATTATTTTTTTCATTTACAGACTCGTCTCGCCCCGCTCTATTTAGGTTGATGTGGTGCCAAAGTTAAAGCTTGCCATGCGCTTGCGCTGTAGACGGAATACGGTATACGCCTCCTCAAGACGGTTATCACGATACTCAAACGTAAAGACTCTTTGTATCTGGAGGAGTTGGGGAAGATGTGTGGACTGCACGCGGCGGGAACGACGTGATCCTTTGGGCAGAATCAGTCGTGTCTTGTCTTCTTGCTATAAGCAAATAGTGATACCATCCGTATGTGAGTACTGCAGCACACGCTTCTCTGCTTGAGTTGGGTAGAGGGATGAGCAGGAGAATGAGACTTTGATGGTGACGAACGCGACAGCAACGCACAAGAGGGGAACCCACGCACTCCGTAGAGCATAGTCGCCGTGTGTGCAAAGCCTTTACGGTTGCGGCAATCATAAGTGAGAAAGGAGGCCGAAAAAACATCCGAACTTCGGAATTCGGCGGCACGGAAGGAACACAACAGGAAACGTATCGAATGCATGGCGCCATGTTAGACAGATACAAGTTTGTATGCTCGGACGCAGCAGTGAGCCAATGCTTGGGTTGCACCACACGCGCCTGTTGTGACGCACAGCAGTAGTAAGCAGAACAGCCAATCACTGATCAGTAGACGGAGGAACAGCAAGAGAGAGGCGAGCAGAGCAAAAAACAATGCCGCAACTGCTGTGTTGTCACCTGCATCAGAAACCACCGGTCGCGCAGTTTGTGGCGCCATCGCTTCTACTAACGCCTCGGGCTGATATCGTGTCGTCTACAACCGAGAACACAGCCATAGAGTATCCCACGCACATCAGACTTGCACGCTGGGGTTGCTCGTTGCTGCCTGACGGAGACAGGACTGTCAATACTATCTGCGTGCCCCCCCTCGCCCAAACCCCCCTCCCGTTATTTTCATCATTCAGCATTAGGGGCGCGCTGAACTGGCTGTGGGCCGTGGCTCGCCTTTCGTCCTTCGCTCCAACGCACCGGACACACGTTTCGTACTATGAGCTCAAAACTTGACTACCTGAAGAAGTATGGAATGCCAGGTGAGACCGTTCGTGCAAATCTTTCTTTGATTGGCGCCCTTGTGAAATGTAGCTGCTCTTGTTGTGCGGTGCCTTGACGAATGCTTAGTCTACTGGTACACATCACTGCCTGATGTACAGCGTGAAAACAAGGCTGCGCGCCCAGCCTCGCTTCCGCCTAAGATTGAGCATGTCTGCATGCCATAGCCTCCATTGAGGCAGTCATCGGTACACCGCTCGCTGGCTTCGAAAGTGACACGGGCGCTTGTTGTCAAGCCCTCACCCAACCCCGAGCAACCCGTTGACCCCTTACACAGCAGTGCACTCAACCTGATTCGCTCTCGTGTGTCATCTTCTCTACTGCTGTGTGCGCTGTTGTAAGATCTTGAGCGTAATGCGCGGAGACGTAGAAAGAGACCGTGGCGCCATAAAGATGCCAAGATCATGGTGTGTGCGACCTGCGCAGTGGTTTAGTCTACAACATAATCTACAGCAGTCGTTTACCTCGTGTAACCAAGTGTACTGCGTAAATTTACAGTCTACACAGACCTTCTGTTGTGCGAGAGCGGCCTGTTGTGTTGAACAGCAGTCCACCATCTCTCGTCACCTCGTATCCATTGAACTAAGCAGCTTGCCGCCAGCTCTTGCGGCACCAGTGGTGGTGCTTGGCAGCTGCAAAAGAAAATTGCTGCTCCATATGCAGGCGCCTCCCAGCCCAGCATCCTCACATCGAAGAGCATTCCGTCTCAAAATATGTCAACGGCGTAAGTCTACAGCCCGAGACCCGTGAGCATATCGTTGCGAATCCCCTCTGTGGGTGTGCAGCAGCAGTGCCGGAGTATATCGTGCGGCCGGTGCCTCCCAATGTGCTCACAATCGGCCATTGGAGTGCACTCCCAGATGCAAATCGACGGGGGAGGGCTCCCGCTGAACCCGCAACACTACACAGCCCAGTGGGGTGGGCCCTTGCCCCTTGACCCCGCGTATCCCCCGCTTAACTCCAGCTTGGCTGCTGGTACTGCTGCTGCTGCTGCTGTTGCTGTTGCTGCTGTTGCTGCTGCTGCTGCGACGGACCAGACTTTGACGCCATCAAAACCTCCCCCCACAGCTTTTTTTAGAAGAATGTGTACCATCTACAGGATCACCCGTTCGAGAGATGCCCAGGGCAGTTGAATGGGATGGGTTGCAGTGAATGGGAGAAAGACCGGCGTACTTTGAGTCCATTTAATCCTACATGCACACATATATATGTGTTCATTCAGGAGGCGAGGATGACGGGAAGAAGAAGAGGAGGAGGAAGAAGACCGCCGGCGGCGGCGTCGCGAAGGAAGGGAGGGACGCGGCACGAGCAGGCGGCGGGGGCCTTCGGATAATCGACGACGAGGCGGGCATGACAACACTCGACAGGAAGCGTGTCAACAAGGCGTGGGAAGAGGAGGAGACGGAAGGTGTGGTATTTGTGAATGTGGTTTTGGGTCTGATTCGTTCGAAAGCTGGTGTGCTCGCTTTGTGCTTTTGATGGGTCCTCGCAGCTGAGGAAGGGAGGGAAGGGCGGGGGCCCACGCCAGGAGAGCCTAGATGCTTTGCGCTCTAAGAGCAGTGTCGTTTCGTGGATGTACCGTAGTAAGGCAATGTTTGACCGCCGCCACAGCAGTTCGCTCTCAACCCTCACCCCGTTTTCGCACCATTGCCAGAGTCGTTGTTCCTCACTATTATACTATACCCCTCCCTTTCCCCCCCCCCCGGTGTTTGCCATCGGGGTTGGGTTTTCGTCGCTTGGCAACGACGTTGTAAAACAAGCCGCCCCCCCCGGTATTTGCTATCGGGGTTGGGTTTTCGTCGCTTGGCAACGACGTTGTAAAACAAGCCAATTCACTTCGTGAACTCGGCAACCAGGTTACCGTTTTTTTTTTTTACCTCCGTTTTTTTTTTTTGGCGGTAACCATAATGGTGGTCGAGTAGATCATGTTGTGCGGGGTGGAGAACCCTCACTCCGCGCAAGGGGGATGATCGCACCACGTTGTGTTAAAATGGTCAAGCACCCTCGAGGCAGTTACACAGTGCTTACAACTGTCTCTGGAAGTGAAAGCACCAGAAAATAAATTAATTCATACGCAGCTGTCATCCGTACGCAAGGAAGTAAGCACAAGATGCCGAACACCCTTAGCAGGATGCAGCGCACCCTTCATGCGACTCGCCGAATATCTCACGGCGCTTCGCGCTTGGTGATGTGAGAGCCTGGTCCGGTGAGAACCCGGCGTGCTCCGTCCCGGCTTTGTAGGGATGCGAGGTCAATGGTCTAACGACTACGGCATGCACGACTATGAGTACACCCCCCTCCCTTCCCCCCCCTCCCTCCCTCGCCTCCCTCCTATACGTCCCCGATTTTTCTTTATTTTGTCAAGAGGAGAAACCTGCCCTGGTGTTAGACGACCCCGACGTGGGGGTGAAAGCGCAGTCCGGCTCTTGGACAACCGTGGGAGTCGGAGCCACCGGCAACGGCGGCGGCACCGACAGGGAGGACATGTCGCCGCCAAGGAGGCAGAGGAAGCGGCACGATAGCTCGGACGACGGTTGTGACGCCTCCCCTCCTCGTCGAAACCCGAGAAATGGCCGCGGCGGGAGAACTGACCCCGGGGACGATGGAGACGCGTCCCCGCCAAGGAGACAGAGGAGGCGGCACGACAGCTCGGACGACGGGGGCGACGCCTCCCCTCCTCGTCAAAACCCGAGAAATGGCCGCGGCGGGAGAACTGACCCCGGGGACGATGGAGACGCGTCCCCGCCAAGGAGACAGAGGAGGCGGCACGACAGCTCGGACGACGGGGGCGACGCCTCCCCTCCTCGTCAAAACCCGAGAAATGGCCGCGGCGGGAGAACTGACCCCGGGGACGATGGAGACGCGTCCCCGCCAAGGAGACAGAGGAGACGGCATGATAGCTCGGACGAGGAAGACGCCTCCCCTCTACGCAGAAAGAACCCCGTCGCCGCCGCCGCCGCCGGTCGCCGTAAAAGGAGCACCAGGGAAGCGGAAGACGCTTCGCCTCCACGGCGTCCCTCGCGCGGGGGGGAATCGCTCGAGGATTCTTCTCCTCCGAGGCGAAACGGCAGTGGCGGAGGGGACAGGGGGCGTCGTGACGCCGGCTACCGTAGCGAGGGCAGGAACGAGCACCGTCACGGAGGTAGCGGGAGAAGAAGTCGCGAGGAAAACATCAAGGACGGAGACGCGTCCCCTCCCCGTAGAACGCGGCGGGCGGGGGAGAGGCATGACAGCAGCAGCGGCAGCGATGGTTCGGTTCCGCGGGAAAGGGCGGGGGCCGCGGCGGGGTGGCGGGGGCGGGATGATGATGCGTCGCCCCCCAGACGAGGAGGACGGCGCGGTTCTTCTTCCCGTTCGGAGGAGGAGGGCGGCGGCGGTGGCGGTAAGAGGCGACGGAGGCATGACTCTCCGGAGGAGGATGTGAAGGCGGGTGGCGATGGCCGTGTGAAAACGTCTTCGGGGTACTACGCGGGACTCCAGTCCGGCAAGGACTTCAAGGTCGTCGAGCAGAACCTCAAGCGCAAGCATGTGAGGGCTGATTTGGGGAGGGTTGGGACAAGGAGGCGTTTTGGTTGATGGGTTAGCCCTCGTCCCTCAGAGAGGAGTTACCGTATACGACAAAACATAACACACCCCCTGGACCGATTTTCAAAGCCCGATTTCTCAACAGCAGAGAGAGCGGTGGTGTCGAGAACGGCGGCGTTGAAGCCGTCTGGTTCAAGAGCTTCCCGAAAATGCATCGTTTAGTTCATGGATGTTCTTCGTCGTGGCGTAGTCGAGCTTTGAACATCGGTCCAGGGGGTGTGTTATCTTGTGTCGTACTCCGGAGTATTCGGTATGAGGCTGATTCGTGGTCGTTTATGAACCAGCTGATTACGATAACTTTACGTGTGACCTGTGACCGGTAATAATCATTCCTTGCAGAAGGTAGTGCAGAGCGCTCCGCGCAAATGTTTTCTCCGGGGAGAATCAGTTCGCCGTTTGGGAATTTGTCAATTTGGCGAGCTTTGTCATCGATGCAATGTGATGTGACCGACTTTCAGGGGAAGAAACGCACATGTCGTTGCAGTTGCAGTTGCAGTGCCTCTGCGGCGACCTCCATATGCTCCTCGAACCTTCCCGTCTGTCTCTCTCTTAGTCTCTCAATACCCCCCTCCCCCTCTTTTCTTCTGTCTTCTGCTACGCAGCCTTTGTGAAAAATTACCTCTCATGTGTAGCCCTTGTGTTTGTACCCTTTTGACCTGCTTGGTCTCGTTAACCTCTCTCCTTTGTTCGTCCACCGCCTTCCACGCAGGACGCTGAGATGAAGGGAGCGGACAAGAGAAGTTCCGGCCAGGGCGCCGAGACTGTGTACCGCGACAAGAAGGGCCGTAAGCTCGACATGCTCAACGAATTCATGAAGTCGCAGGACGCGAGAGCGGGCAAGAAGGTGAGTGGGGACCGTAGGCGACGTTAGATACCACACACCCCGGAGTGATTTTCAAAGGTCGATTTCTCCACGGCGGAGGAGAGTGGTGGTGCCGCAAATGGCGGCGTCAGAACCGACGTCACCTACGGTTGATGGATGGCAAGGTAGTTGGGTTGGCTTGTTGTTGCCCTGTGTCGGCGTAGCTTGTGTGCAGGTGGGGATACGGGTTCCGTTTTCGGGTAAGGCAGCGGGGGCAGGGGGAGTGGCGACTCATGTTTTGCATGCCTTAGCAGTTAGACCATTGACCACGCGTCCTCGTGAGGACGGAGCTTGGGCGGGCGGGGAAGGCGTAGCGTTTACTCCCGTCGCCCCTTCGACCATTGGAAGCACATCGTATGCATACCTCCAAATAGAGTTACATCCAACGCATGTGAGCGGTTCTTGGGGGAAGAGGGTTCCGTGTCGTGAAAGTTAACTCGGGTGAAGCTGTACCATATTCCCGTCCGTACCAAAAACGAATCTCGGTTGTGTACTCTTGATTTTCTTCATCCTTTGGCTTGTTGCAGCTGATGATTTCTTCTTTGTTCCTGTGTCCACAAGACAAGGCAGTCAACCTCGACAAAGAATGTTACCAGGGGATCATGCTCTACTATAAAACCGGGAGAAGCTATGTATTCATCCTTGTCATGAACCGCGCCGCGCCCAGCGGAGACGTATCAGGAAGTTTTTTGAACCGCGCAATGTGGGTAGCTGATCAGGAAACAATGCAGAAACAATGCAGATTTTTGGCAACCGAAATCAAACCATCGGACCGGTCGGCGCCCACTGGTCTAATGGCTTGATTCGTTTGCTATGAAAGTAACTCGTGGGGGTCCGAATGACCCACCCGACACCTTTCCTTCCGAAGATATTTGACCTCTACCGTCTTTCCGTTTAATGTTGTCCTGCATTTCTTCTCGTTTCTTCACCCACGTCCGCATCAGATTGTGCGGAGCCTCAGACGTCGAGTTTTACCGTCATATACTCTTTATCCAATAGAATCCAGGGTCTTATGGAAGAATAACCACCCCGAATGCTCATTCGGCGTTGGATTCGAACCCGCGAATTGCTTTTCTAGAAAACATGTTGGTGACCCTCACCAAAATACTTTTTTTTGTTACCCTTTAGAACGACGTCGCAATGGGTGAAAATCTAACTCTCCGTTTTTGTGAGCATAAAAACAAGCAAAAAAAAACAACCGATCCCAACCCAACCCGACCCTAACTCTAAGGTCGAGGAGGCAAAGGACCAGTTCGCCTGGGGCCGCGGGAAGGTGCAGAAGGAAGAGGAGAAGCAGTGGAAGGAGGAGCTGGAGAACATCGCCGCAGAGCCTTTCGCGCGCACGGTCGACGACACACGGCTGGAGGAAGCGCGGAAGGCCGAGATACGCGCGGACGATCCCATGGCGGCCTACATGGCCAAGGTATGGGCTTTTGGAGTGCCGCCGTTGGGGATGCTGATGGTGCTGCTGCTGCTGCTCATATTTCTGCTCATATTTCTGCTCATATTTCTGCTCATATTTCTGCTGATGATGCTGGTGGTGGTGGTAGTGTGTGTTTCCCATGTTGGTGCCGGTTTGTGTCTAAGCATGCACTTCTGTATCTGATAGATAAATGGCAGCACCCGGCCGCCAATACCTACCAGCGTGCGCTTGTTGCGTTCGAGGTCGTCGCCTTGTCTGGTGAAGCGAGTTTTATCGTAAATACGACAACATCGTTGACAACGACATTGATAATCCAACAGCAGAACCCACGGGCAGCAGCGCCTTTTGGTACCGACCGGTCCGAATACCTTCACCCTTGACACACACACCCTCCCCGTCTCCCCTTGAATTTACTCGGTGACACTGTGTTGGACTCTGATGTGCAGAAAAAGGCCAAGGAAAGGGTGAAGAGCGGAAAGCCCCTCAAGCCAGAGTACAAGGGCCCGCAGCCGAAGCCCAACAGGCACGTACAACACCACGCCGTCTTTGGCCAGCGTTTTGCGTGTCTGGACCATTATCCGCTGCTTCTGTGGCTTGCTGGTGTCTGTTTCTTCTGCCGTTTTTCTGTGCATGAACGTGGTGTGTGTTCCGGCTGTGCATGCAAGAGGAGACCATTGCTGCTGGTCGAGTCTACGACGAAGAATTGGTTTGTATCTTCAACCTCTTTTTTGCTGTTCGACTTTGGCCAGGATCAGTAAAATCTGTTTGTTTTGTTGTTTGTTCACGCGGGGGGGGGGGGG